TTGAAACGGCCGTTACGGGCCAATTCAGAGTTGTAGGTTTGTACTTTGCAGCCCCGGACTGTTCAGTGAGATGAGAGCTGCTAGATTATCAACAGTGGAGGTATTTGATGAATTTGTCTTCCTCTTCAGCTTTCTCTAATTATGGTATGAAGAATGACGTGGAGGAGGAGAAAAAGCAGCATAAAGGTTCTTGGTATCTGGAAGACTTTCTGTGAGGAAAATGGGTTACATCGGAATGTTGCAGTTATTTCAAGGACTTGTGGGGTATAGTTTCCATTGTTTGAGAGGAAGCTATTACGTCCTACTTTAAGAAACTCATTGTAGCACAGTGAACTGAAGCTTGTTTTGACTATCCTGTGAGCCTCTCTTGGCCTCCTTTGAACTTGTCTGCGATTCTACTCAGAACTTCCAACAAAGCATCTCCATAGTCTCCATCAAAACAAGGAACGTTCTTCTAAATTCTTCTGGAGGGGTTGAAAGAAGCTGATGTCCCTTCAGTGTGGTATGAGAAGGTGTCTTTTCTTCAGTAGTTTCCACTATTTGATGCTCCGGAGGGCACAATGTCCCTAGGACTGCTGCAATGAAGAAATAGCTTTGTTTCCAAGCACCCTGTCTGTTGTAGATGCTTTGCTTGATGGTTGAAGTAGGCCTGCCATCCCTGCAGTCTGTTTTCCTATATGTAAAGTTGGGGCAGCCACGTATGAAGGAAGTGGTGAGAGAGAAAGCAGGAGACCTTATTTCTTCCCCCCGCCCAGTTGTTGATGTGTGAGAGAGTGGACACTGGTGTTTACTGCAAAAGAGGATAGAGGACCTGGTGCTTTTGAAATGCTGAGGTGTGATTGATGGGTAAACGAGGATAGTTACCATCCCTGAGTGCGTTCCAGGCATCGTCTTTGTGTGCATCATCCCGTTCTCTGTTGCTGGCTTGTCCCGTTTCCTCGAGGAGAGGCTGCTCTGAAGCCCTCCAAGGGGAAACGCGTGGTGTTGTTGGGCTGGGGCTCACTACTCACAACCCAGTTACAGTAGGAAGTTTCACGTCCTACTTGTACAAAATTTCTGTAAATGGTTTCTTGTGTGGGAATATTTTAGCACAGAGGGTGTGGAAGTTAATTTTCCGATATGCTGTTTCGTTTCTCCCTCACCATCAGACCCTATGGACACGTTCATGATGGATTTGCATAACAGTTTCTGGAGATCACGATGGTGAAAGGAAGTAAACGTCTCTGTGGGTGGGAGGAAACCTCTCTGCTTATTTCAGGCTCTGAGGAAGGGAAGTATTAAATAGCACTCAACTGCTTCTTCCCTGATGCTGTAGAAACAACCCTCTTCTTTATTCATTCAGGGGAGAGATAAAACATGCTCTTCTGGCAGGGGTGGCCACGGCCCCTCCTGTGATCCATGGGTGACAGTGGGGCTGGTTGTGACCTAGTGGGTTCTGCTGCCCAGCCCTGTTCTCCTCGCCCGCCCGCATGTCGCTGGGAGGTCCTGGTGCTGCCTGCTGCTCTCGCAGTTGCTTTTCTCTTGAGCTGCTTTGCAATGTGAAGGAGAAGGGAGCGGGGAGGTAGCACTGGAGGGCTTTCTGTCAAGAGTAGAGGAGGTTGAGCAGGGGGGTTCTAATAGAGAGGTGAGAGATACCTTTGCCCTTTCAGGTCCAGGTACTAACCTAGTGTGCGGGTGTGACAAACCATGACTGACTTTTTCTGGCCCCAGGAAGGTGACTTCAAGGCATCTGAAAGAGTCTTGTTTCCAACACTCATGTCTCGCATGACCAAAGGTAGGAGCATCAGGAGCTATTTCATGCGTGCTCTCATAACTATGGTATTAACTACGGTAACCTGTCTCAGCCTTGGGTCTGGGGTGGGTGGGTGTGCAGGACTGGTGGCAGATCTGACCACTTGTTCCAAGGGGGGCAATAGGGCAGCCATGATGTCTGGGTTCTGCTCCAAGCTCTGGCCCTGACTTCTAGTGGACTTGGATGATGCTGGGCACAGAGGGTTCCAGCTCTCCCTGAAGTGGGGATCAGCCAACCTGGGCTCCTGCTTGCTTAAAAGACCTGGAGCTGCTTGGGTGGAAGTCTAGGGGCTGTCTGTCCAGGGATCAAATGTGGGAGGAAGTGGCCGTGGCACATGAGAAACTTGGGGATTCGCAAGTCTTCACAGCTCCTGTGGAGTCCAGCCCTGACCTCTTGCTTTTGATGGAAATCTATGGCTGAGTTTCCCCAGTCATTTGGTTACACTTCATGATCAATGTCTGAAAGGGAGTGTCAAGAGTGAGGGAGCATCCTATTCCACACCAGAGACATGGCCTGAAGTGCAAGGGTGAGAAAGGAATCATTTTACCTTCCATCAGCGAGTTCCTGCTTGCTGTGCCAGAGCCAGGGCCCCCTCTCTGCCTTCTTCCCACCGCATCTTCTTGTACCTCCACGTAGGCAGCCCAGGTACTGAACTGCAGGACACCTTCAGCCTTTGGATGTCAGATGGCAGGACGTGTGCGCCCCTGGGTGCAAACGACCTGCAATTTCTGTTTCAGCACCAGAGCTGCCCTGGGGTCAGCAGAAGGCATATAGTTGAAATCAGTTGAAAGCTCAGCCGTGCAGCCCCTGCCAGGGATGTGCGTAGTCTGTGGGGCAGGAGGGGGAGTTTGAAGATGGTGTCTTCAGTCATTTTGATGGTTTAGGAATGTGGTTGTGAGCTTGCTGACTTAGGGCATGATACGTCTTTCATTTGCTCTGCAGAGATCGTGGAAATTTGGGGTCAGGTGTCTCATTACATTCAGCAGCAGTTGGCACCAGGCAAGGTGATCTTTATGCCCTGTTTCTCCCCTCATACTCTGGTGGTTTTGGCAGCCTGACCCCTGCCAAAGTCATGAAATATAATTAGTCTTTCTTTTACTTCTGGGATGTTGGGTTTCTGCTTTAAAATGGAGTCTATAAGTGTGCCACAAATCAGATTTTTCCGTAAGTGTACAGAAAAAATTCCAGCTCTAGTTATATTCAAAAGATCAATGCTGTCAGAGTTTCTCTGTTCCCCACTGCCAGAGTGGAAAGACCACCCAGCATATCACAATTGTTGGAAAACCCTTGCATCTCCTCTAGCTGAAGGGTGTTTGCACTACTTTTACGTCAAATCCTTGTCCATGTTGCTTTTTCCTTTTCCACTTTTAGAGTGTCAAAATATAGTTGGGCTGTGGACATTCGCTCTTCTTATGGAAGAGCTACGTATGGGAAAGAACGATTGTTTGCCTGTTCAGAGACCCATATTTCAACTGTCCAATGTTGTCAGAAAGATTCTTAACCTTGGCTGAGCTAGAATTATTCCCAGTAAGAAGACAGAGTAAAATCTTGTTTCCCTTTGAAACAGATGTGGGGTGTCTGATAATGCTGTCTAGGAATGGTCACTGGCCCCAAAAGCTCTCACATTTGCTCATAAATTCATGGGATTTTGGAGTGGTCCAAGTAATTCTCAGGAGGAGTTTTTCTCTTTTGCTTCCTAACTGGAAATGTTTGACAGGGCATACTAAGTCTCTCAAGCCCTCAGTGCCCACACAGGGTGAGTGTGTGCAGAGTTACGATGGCCTTATGATGGCACTCTAGAAGACCGCTCTGTAGCAAGGCATTGCCTGAGGGCCTGAAGGCTGCTGAAACTTGACTGCAATTAGCATCTTTGCTCTGTAAGTCTCTTTGCTCCTCTTGTGTTGCTTGACAGGTTCTACACCAGCTGTCCCATCGGACTATGCCACCGTAGCCTTGATCAAATCCCCGTGACACTGTGGAGAACTGCGTAAATGAGACCGTGATGTATCTCTCACTGCATCTCAAACCGACTGAATATTGGTTTTGTTTTCCTGGACATGAGTGTCCTTTTTATCAGGCAAAAGAAAGCCAAAATGAGGTTTTATGAAAAATTTCTTCTCAGCCTGGATGCAACGGGGAAACTTTAAAGAAGTTCTTAGCAATGTAAGTCCTGCTGTTTCAGCGATGCTACTTACAGGATTTCAGACAGAATCTCGAAGGCCTGTTGAACTGGTGTCCCCTGGCATGCCGTGATTTGTCTGACCACTTGGCCTAGACATGATGTACAGTAATACAGGTGCTCTATAGATTTATTCTCTTGTCATCAATTGTCTTGATGACATGTAAGATCCGAAGAAGAGCTGTGTTGCGTCAAACCAAGGATCGAACCAGCCCAGTGTCCTGTCCCTGAAGGCTTAGGAAAGGGTAGGAGAACCAGGCAGGGTAATGGTGGCACTTGCCATTACGCATAAGTGGGAAAGTCAGTGCCTGGCTGAAGGATTTGCCCAAAGCCAGGGAAGAAGGCTGTGCTTGCCTCCACTGGCTTCTCCGTTGGTCAAGAGTTTGTCTCCTGGTTGAAGCTGTTGAGTGTCACCCTTGCAGAAAGCCTCACAGTATTACTACCTGGGATCAGTTCTTAGCAGTGGTGTCTCTGCTTGTTGTAAGGAGGGGCTATAGTTAACAAAAGAGAGCTTTGTTGGAGAGCTTTGGTGAGGCAGCTGCTTCTTTTAGCAGTTGAAAGGTTTGCT